GTGAAATGCTACATTTGGAGCATCGCTTTGTATGGGGCTGAAACTTGGACACTTGGGGCAGTAGATCAGAAACACCTGGAAAGCTTCGAAACGTGGTGTTGGAGAAGGATGGAGAAGATCAGTTGGACCAATTATGTGAGAACTGAAGTGTTATTTAGAGTCAGTGACCAGAGGAATAACCTACACGAAAGAGGAAAATGGAAGGCTAATTGGATTGGTCATATCTTACGCGGTAACTGCCTTCTAAAAGAAGTTATTGAAGGAAAGATAGAGGGGCGGATAGAAGTGACCAGAAGATGAGGAAGAAGACGTAGGAAGATGCTGGATGACCTTGGGGACAGAAGAGGATATTTTCATTTGAAGGAGAAAGCTCTAGATCACATCAAGTGGAGGAACTGTTTTGGAAGAGACTGTGGACCTGTTGTCTTGACAGATTACAGATGAATGAATATAATAGTGACAGTGAATTAAATGTGAAAATTCTGTCATGTGGCAAACGAAGTGTTGGGTCTGATGAAGGAAAAAATGTAAGTGAAAACAGTAGCATGCAGCATGACATACGGGCAAAGTCATTCTTTCTGTTGCAAGGACTTTGCAAGAAACTGGACAACAAGAGCTGTTTTTCCTGGAGGAAAATTCTGAAAACAAAATTCTAAAAACACCCATATTTCTGGACCTGTTCAATGAGAGGTTTCATCTTCTACCCAACTTTCTTAATTTTCTTGGCAACAAAAAGGGTCAATGTCATAAAACAAAGTACAACTGCAAAAAATGTTGGGTGACCCTGTGTGCTGCACCCTGTTTACCATATGGCAGATGACTTCTAGAGGTGTGAAAGAGGATTGAGGTTCAACAAGCGGCTCAGAAGTGTCTGACTGTAAGACTGAAAGAATACTATGGGCTGGTATTGAAAACTATATCATAATCATTAAGACTTTCACAGTATGTGCCACTGGAGTTGCATGTGATACAAAAGAGGAAATTCACTGCATCTGACAAGAATTGTATCTTGGTCATCCAGCCCATAATCACTCTACTAAGATATACTGATACATTTTGCATGCAACTTCAAACACCTAATTTACGTGGCTCTATGGACTCACCCAATCCAGCCTTCCTACACATTGAGTACGGGCCACTTCGAATAGCTTGTTTCACGGTTTCGTTTTCTGGAGGCTCATTTTCCACTTCTTCTGTCTCATTTTCTTCATCTTCTGCATCATCGCCTTCCAGCTGAACACCATTTTCTCCCTCTTCTCCTTCTGCATTATCTCGACGCCTGCGTCTATTCTTTCGTGCCTCTCGTGCTGCTTCACGTTCTTTGGCTCGCCATGCCTTCTGCATTTCTGGTACTTCATGAGAGTAGTACAGCAGAAAATGTGTATGAACATCTTTGAGTTCTTCTGTGGTTTGTACTATTCGAAGTCTAAATAAAAAAATACAGATTATATACCTTGATTATTCTGATTTTCCTTCTTTTCTTAATCACTGTCATCTGTCAATTAAAGGAGGCAATGACAGTTATCTACAAATTCTGTAAAAGAAAAACTGCCCTTATGCCCAAGGATAACACCACTAAGGCTCATATGGGACATGAAAACAAAACTCCACACACATTTCACATCATTTTAGATCTATGGGTCATGAAGGTTACTGCATAGGTTACGTCAAAATAAATACAATATACTGATCAAATTTCATGACTACACACTCCTCAGGGCCCAGACTGCTTTTATTCATTATTATAAATTTTTGTACTACAGTTCGCTTGCGGACTAAAGTCACAGTTTGTTTTTGTTTTGAAAACACGGAATTTACAGTGATGCCAATCCCTGTAACTTGACCAAAAGCAAAGCTCCTCATGCATGGTATTACTCTGGTTACCCAAGGGAAGAAAAAAAAAAAACAAACAAACGCAGAGCACTTCATTACACCACTTCACTACACCAAGGAGAATGTTGTGCTCTACAGTTAATCGAGTGCATAACACATAATTTTCAATGACACAATGCTCCCTTTCATTTTACAGCCCAACCACACTGAAATACTATAAATACTGTTCTTACATAAGAATGAAATCTGCGTAATACTCAAAAATTTGGTTCTATTATTTTCAAGGTGAATTAATACTCTGAAGCTAAGTATGATGAAAGATTGCTATACAACCTGCAGAAGCATGACTGCTTCGTCCATCATCTTAAACTAGCATCTGCCCACACATAACAGCAAATGTCTTCCATCCATGTACATGAAACAGAACAGAAGCTTACCTGTCAATGTCTTCATCCTTCAGTAGCCGAACACTATCAGGAATAGGCTTATCAGGTTCTTTCATCAACTGCTCAGCCTGATAATCACGCAATTTTTCAAACAGTGCAATCAAATTCATCTTCCGTGTTCGTAACTGGCACCACTAACAAAATAAAATATGACAAGTAGATTACAAAAATTCAGTAATTGCAGTGAAAGATGATGATGAGAATGAGCAGGGCTTGAAAACTGTGTTCATTCATTCATGAAAGGTGGAAACCATAAATTCACAATGTTAATTTATATTTAATGTGCATAAAATATAGATGGTAACACCTATGCTTATTTTTTAATTAATCCTTCAACATGGACATTTAAACAGCATGTTTAGTGATCTCTTGTAGTAATTTTTTTGTATGTCCCTTTACTTTCTGAAGTGAAAACCCTTCATCCTGTATGTGCAGGAAGAAAGCAAGTATTTTAGAAGTGGAAATTTGTGTGACAGCTCTTGAAACATTCATCCAAACATGAGCCTGCTTCAAATTCACTGCAGCAATAAACTGTTTGCCTCCCTTTTGTGTTGTGAGCAGACAGCACATATCCTCTTCGATTTTGTCATCTTCCCTGCAGCTAGAATTTGACTTAAACTAAAAACTAAACTCCATGGCTTGAGTCCACAATACCAACCGAGCGACCACCACTTGTCAGCGAAGAAGAATTTGCTCTAGGAACTGATATTCAGACAGTCTTTTCGGCAGCAGTTCAGTTGAAGGCTGGCCATATACAGAGTGAGGGGCAGCACATCTGTGTTTCTCTATAAGACCCTATATCAGTAAGAGCCTGAATTGTCTGGCATGGATATTATAACTGAATTATGGTCAGTTATACTGAGTAACCTTATGAATACTTTAAATTACCATTTAGAACCTTCTTCTGATCAAGTCAACATGGCTGTAGCAACTGATATTTGAGATCCGCTGTTCCAATGTTCAAATTATATTCACACACAATTGTATACAGTGTTCTTCTTTGTGGTATATACAGGGTGTCCCAGGAGGAATGTGCCAAACTTCGGGAGGGTGTTCCTTATGTTAAAGTATGCCGATATAACCCAAAACACCTATGTCCAAAGTTGAACGGTTACGGAGATAATGGCCAGAGAAGTGTCAAACTTTGACCGGGGTTACACACTTGTTGATTACAAAATAGATATTAAAACTGGCAGGAATATGTGGATTCTGTAACGTTAATAATGTACGTAACATCAAACTAACTTGTGAGTGACATGAAGCCATAAAATTGAAGTACAAAAAACTCGCATGCCATCTCAAAGTTGTCGTTAAGAGTTCCAAGCACTGTACATGACACATGAATGGTAAGCGATGACGTAACGTGCTGACTGCGCGTTCTGATAAAGCCAACTCCATAAGCACGGATAGGATGAATCACGGCAGTCAAGGACAAACAGAGATAATTCCTCTCAGCTGATAGGTATAATCCGTGGACCCGCTAGAAGACCACACTTTTCTCGGGCCATTATCTCCGTAACCGTTCAACTTTGGACATAGGTGTTTTGGGTTATATCGGCATACTTTAACATAAGGAACACCCTCCCGAAGTTTGGCACATTCCTCCTGGGACACCCTGTAGAAATCATGGATACTCTCTTCTTATACTATCATGCCTGTGCTCCTACATCCCCTGAGTCCTTACTAGTGCTCTCCCTTTTGTTTTTTTACCCTTTACCAAGGGAGGGGGTACTTTTCCTAGTGGCATGTAAGCACCCACATAGTTTGTGCTTAGATTTCAAGAATCAAGCCAGCTCTGGATAATTACACAAACTGATGATCCAGAGAGTGTGGCTTGAGAACACATTCAACTAGCCTGACAACATGCTGACACTTTGTTCATCAGCATTCATATAACTTAGATGTCACAAATGAGCCTTCCCACTTCCTAATTCTAGAGCAACATGTCAAAGGGCCAGCATTCTTGAGATTTCATACTATGGATATTTGTTGATTTCATTTCCTATTAGCCGCATAACTGCTGTGTCAGAAATATTTTCAAATATGTTCACCGTATCCAGGTAGATATGTCAAACCATTAATGTTTCCCACACTGCAAAATCTGCAACTATCTTGATGCACAGTCTTCAGTAACACACTTCCCAGACCTATGCTTTTCAATGTGTCACAATTCTTTGCTCAACACTATCATCTCCACTGACAGGCTGCATCATAGCTCAAGCGGTTAGTCGCTGGCTTCCCACAGCGGCTGACCGGGTTCGATCCCAGGTCTGGTCAAGTGGGATTTGTGGTGGACAAAGTGGCACTGGGGCGGGTTTTTGCCAAGTACTTCGGTTTCCTCTGCCAATTTTAATTCCACCAAATTCTCCATCATCATAATCACCTGGGGCAGGCTACAATAGGCCAATCAGTAGCTGTTGTGCCGAGTTAACCCAGTTGGACTCAAGCCCCCACTAAGCGAATTTAATTAAAAAAAAATCATCTCCACTGTCACTGTCATTAATTGAATGAGTTCCAGGAATCACCACTTGCACGTAATCATCACCGAAGTCACTGTCACCACCTGAACTACATTCCCCCACAATTATCATCATCCAAAACTTCATTTACAAATTCAATAATTTCAAACTCCATCAGCACAACGCTTACTGAAGGCCCAGCCATGATGATTATAGCACCATATGTTCAGATTGTCATTAGCTACATGATAACCATGGTCATTGATACATAAAGAATTCACTTATGTCCTCAGAGCTTGATGCAAACCACCACCATAAACCACCATCTTATTCCTCAGCTAGTGAGTGTAGAAATGAAGTTTACTGCAGAATGTAAAATGTAGGTGAAATCACAGACAGGTCTTTTAAATATCCAATGTATGGGACATATGACATGGATCTAAAGGGGTAATACGTTAAGAGTTTAGTTTGCAGAGTTGTATACATTGTTTCTTAATCTTTAACACAAAAAACCTAAGATACAGGTAAAAATAATATCTTAGAACACTCAACTGTTGTTATCTACTGCTAACAACAGTTATATTTTTGTACTTTTCAATTGTTTTTGTAATTAAAACTATTTTTAAAACCCGCTGAAAAAGTAGAATCCACTTAAAAACCTTAAAAAATACACACTTTAAAATCTTTCATATTTTCACTGCTAAAAATTGTGAGCACAGTTCATTTAAAACACTTTGGCAACAAAGGTTAGACTTCTGCGAGGAATTACAAAATGGGTTTCTCTTTTCTAACATTTTGGAGTGGAAAATTACTTCTGAGTTCGACACAAACAACTTGGCATATCTTTTAAAGCCTTAAATGATGATTGATAATGAAGAATAAGGAAGTTTCACTATGAAATATCATCACACCAAACATAAAAATAACAAAACATTCAGCCTTCATGTAATATTTAAAATTTCTCACCCACGTCTGTATGAACATGGCACTTTAGTTAATTCTTACACAATACAATTTCAAGCAAATTTAAATGCAAAAAATTCAAAAGCAGCTGTCCTTGGCACACAATCATGATCGAGTGAGTTATCACTGCCTGTGCATCTACCACTATTACCTATGGCTCACAAAGTTGTGTCACAATGACACTCTACATATTTATCAGTCAGAAAATACAACAAAGAAGTATACCTTCTCATCAAACCTGTAAACTTTCCACAAATCATTTATATTTAGCTCTGGTTGCACATATTCCTTCCTATAGAATGCAATGAATGGCACTTCAAAATGCTGATTTCTCATGAAGTCCAGAGCCTTCTTAATCTTCCCAATTGTTTGAGGTCCTTTTCTTGCTCGATCCCGGGCATCAGCTCCACCATGACCATCCTGGACAATGTTGAAAAGCACATGCATTTTAGAAACCCCAAACACATTACATATAAATGAAATTAAGACTAAACAAATGGGATAATTTGCTCCTAACATACACATCTGTTTAACCCTTCAAACCTAATTACATTATGACACATAATTATGAAGCTGCCAGAAGTGTTACAGCCATTTTAATTCTCAACTTCATGAATACTGTGAAAAAGCCTGTATCTTCCTATCTTGCACAGAGACATGAACCAAAAACCGTGTCAGAAAACATAAACCTTAAGCATGAACATGTGCACACATGGACAAAACACAGGTAACTGCTTCATTCAGAGCGTTATTTTAAATTGATGAAGTCCTACATCAATGACAGGGAATCCAGAGTAAGAATCAATCAAGCAACATCTATTAACTTTACTATAAACTCTGGGGTACTGCAAGGCAGTGTAGTAGGACCACTATTATACCTACTCTATACGGCGGACCTACCAACCAATGAAAACACCACCACAGGAACCTTTGCAGATGATACAGTCATCCTAGCAACCCATGCAGATCCAGCAAAGGCCACCAGTATCCTACAAAACCACTTAAACCAAATACAAGCATGGCTACACAAATGGAAAATTAAAATAAACGAGACTAAATCTGTCCAAGTGAACTTGACGCTAAGACGAGACCATTGCCCACAAATAAGACTGTATAATAACAATATCCCACACTCTCCAAGCGTTAAATATCTCGGAATCCATATGGATAGTAGACTCACTTGGAAAGAAACACGTAATCAAAAAACGCAAACAGACTTAAAAACCAAGGAGCTAAACTGGTTAATTGGAAGAAGATCCAACCTATCCACAGAAAATAAAGTTCTGCTTTATAAGACAATAATCAAACCAATCTGGGCTTACGGAATTGAGCTCGGGGGTTGTTGCTGCAAATCAAATATATCAATAATCCAGAGAAGCCAATCAAAAATACTTCGAATTATAACAAATGCACCCTGGTAAGTAAACAACCAAACGTTACATACAGACCTAAATATACCATACATCAAGGACGTCATCAGAGAAAAAAGTACCTCACACCACAACAAACTAGCAAATCACACAAACGACATCCTACAGCCACTCACTGAACCGCAGCACAATCGAAGACACCGAAAACACTGGCCAGCTGACCTAAAAGAAAACTAATGAGGAACCTCCCACTGGGGAAAGGACTCACCACGTCATTAAAGAGCATCACGGCTCTTACGCCAGAAAACTAGCTTATAGAATTGTAGATTCTGATTGCTTAATAAATAAATAAATAAAAAAAAATCAGAGCGTACATAATGAAATTAGTGCTCATTTCAGAATACACCACGTTCATTCAAAAAGTATAGGCAATTAACTTACAAAACTCTGCATACCTGTCAGAACATGCTCCCAATATCATGAAATACAAGTATATACTGTACTTTAAGACAATGCACTAGCACACACCACATGGAATTCAGTACATGGTATATGGATTGCTATCATCGAATAAATCAATAATCCGAGATATAAATACCACTTTCAGCAAACTACTATAAAGCTGTTTTATAGAAAACATTTTTCAAGCATGAATGGGACTTCCACTTTAATCCTGCGTAGCATGTGATATTCTCACGCAAGTGACTGGCCCGTAGGTTGATGTCTTATTCTACAGACAGGCACTACTAAGCCTAGAAAGAATGGAGTAATCTGCAGCACTACATGCAAATATAGTCTTACACACCTGGTTGGATATTGTTAGTTTGCAGAATGCTTGTTTATATATCCATTCTGATTCTTCATCCAATTCATCAGAGCCTTCAGGCACTGCAGTAACTGAGAAGTCACGAAGCTGCATTCGCTCAGGGATGTCTGTGTTTCTGATCTGAATTAAAAATATACAAATATAATTTTGTCAATCCATATCAATTTTAACATGCAAAAATATTATCACAATACTTACGTATAAATGTAAAGCAAATAATTTAATATTACTACATAAGGTTGGAATTCTAAAACCTGTGGGAGAAAAAAAAAGTATTGGATTGTGAACAGAAAAAGTTAATTTACTTTCCCTTCACCAACTCAAATGACAAAGCAGTAGTGCTGTGTGACAGCACATAATCTTACTGTTACTTACTTGTACCACATACTATGAACTTTTCCTCACCCAAAGACCAACTGAGGGCAGATGAAGAATACATTCAACCAACATTCTTGCAGCAACCACATAATTTATGACATATTGAGTGAAAAGATGGCGAGGATGTGGTAGCCAAGTGGACGATGAAGGCAAGCATGGATGAGTACATGAGTTAAGGAGTTAAGAGTGTAAGGGGGAAGCTTGGGAGTGAAGAGTGAGAGGGGGAGAGTTGGGAAATGTAGCTAAGTAAATGAGGCAATGAGAAGGAGGGAGTAAGTTATGGACTTGGTGACTGAATTAGAAAGTGGGGAGGTACATAATTAAGGGTGTAACAGGTAATAGGAGGGCTGCAGGTGGGTGGACAAGTGATTCCACTGATGTGTACTTCTACAGTGGGTGACAACTTCGAAAGTATCTATTTTGAAGTACGGTCCAGTTTAAAAATGTGTGGTTAAACTGATTAGACAGCAGACAATTACCTCATTATCAAGATCAGTAAAATGTCCTCTCTTCAATTCACTTGGTTCATAAATTTCAAAAATTGATTTTTTTGTTGCTTTTTTGCGAGCTGTCTTCTTGGGCCTTGGTCTGCAAAAATAAAATTAATGCATTGTTAAACATAAAATCAGTTACTTTTTAAACATTACTGAAAATTACTTCAACACATTTCACTTTGCATATCAAGAGAGATCAGTCATTATGAGCTTACAACACCTTCTTTCAACATCTTCTTCTCCTTCATCCAAATATTCATCTTCTTCTTCCTCTTCCTCTTCATATCCATCTTCATCCATTGTCTCCAAAATTCCATAATCAAAATCAACACCAAAAATGTCTTGGGCTTCTTGCAATGCCCTGAAACAGATACATAAAAAATAGCATAGGTAGGCTAATTTTAACAAGAAACAAGACATTCTGGGTAGAACTCATACAGCCTACTTTCTTACTGCACTATGCCCAGTATCACAATTAATATAACAATAGTTCTGACCTCACTTGAGGGATCTTTTAGATTAAAAAAAAAATCACTGTCATTTAAAAGCTCTGGGCTGTAAAAGCGATATGAGAGAGACATACTGGAGGTACCATCATTTTACAGGATGACAAGTCAAGACATGTCTTCAATAAAACATTAGGAAGCTAGCTGCGCACATACAAGGATGTCTTAGGAATACATGGTGCACTGCAATCTCATATCTTAACAAACAGAAAGAGCAGCAAAAATGATGTATTCATAATAAACATTAAGATGTTAAGTGCATATCATTATAGCTCGTAGCTTCCGGTATATTTTATCCAATACAAGTTGGCTTCAATTTAATTTCACAAATTAACTTTTAGATTACTTGAATCTTGCTCACTAAAAGCAACAGCTGTCCCTCACATCGCATGACACTCATGAGTGTTTCAATCAGCAGGAAGAACATAAAGAACATAAGAAACAAAGACAGAAAACGAATGAAGGAGAAAAATGAAAGTATAGAAGAACTGAAGGTAGGAAAAGACAGATGGCATCCTGCGATAACAAACATGCAAAATAATTTAATACATCAACACGTTAAAAATTCTAAGATATGAAAAATATTACTTACGCATCTGTAAATATTGGTTTTCTTTTCTTTCTTCGATCTGCAATAGGGCGCCCATCATCATCAACTATAAAATCATCAGAGTCAGAGTACTCCCCTTCTTCATCCTCCTCATCAAAGCGTTCTGCTTCAGGACGATGACCCTTCTCAGAAGCCCGCTCTTCCTCCTGAAGAGGCATTTCAAATGTGTACAGATCCACATTAAACTATACTAAACAAGCCCACAATATGAATCTTCACCACCATGGACACCCCAAATCTCATTTGTATCTACTGTCATTTATTTATTACATGTGTAAGTGGTATTACAACCATCCTGCAAATGTCCATGGGGAATCCGAACTGTACCCACCATAGTGGCCACCAGTTAAAACAGTTTAAAATAATACGCAATAATACGGAGGACGTGTTCAAGCACAGTACTACTTTTGTACCACTCTCTATATAGCATCATATGGTTGGGTGACTGGCGATGACTACATTGGAAAAACTGAAAGAAAGTAACTGTGGCCTAATTTGAGGTATGATCCTCACATCTGAGGGAAATGAGGAAAACCACAAAATTCTCAGCCAGAATAGCAGCTATCTGGCACCACCTGAATATATGACAGGCATTAATGCCCACTGGTTCAGGATGTTAAGTTTACAGATTTTAAAGCATGTCTATGTGTGCATCAAATTAAATAAAGATTAGATACAGAACTGCATACATGAACTATACATTTTATACTCAAGTAACCAGTACACCGACTTACACATTATCATGCAATTTTCGGAGCTGCTATGCGTAGTATTTTAACCCTTTACTAGCCAATAAACCAAAGAGGCAGATTATGTTGGCCCTCTGATGCATAGAAGCTTCTTTNTTTCTCTTTTTTATAGCATACTGTATACATAATGTGATTTAACTATAAGGTAACAATTCTCTTTAATGTTTGGAGCCACTGATTTTATCATTATATTTTTATACCACCAAATATACACATTAATATATGCCCCGTATGCCATACTTCTTTTGACTTTCTGGCATCATCTGGGGCATTCCAATATGCAAGTCAGTTATAAGGTTGGAGATAGTCTGTATCAGCCTTACAAACTTTAACAGAATCAGTGCCCTCCATAAAACACAATAAAATATCCTTCTAAAATTATCTCACGTAACTGTTAATATATCCTTAGTGTACATTTTCATATTATCCCATTATTGGAGCTGTTATGCCTTAGTTAATATTAACATAAGCCATAACAAAAACAATAATTTGGAGCATGTGGGCATATATTAACGTGATCTTATATCATATAAAGAAAAACTTGAACACATCAATATTTCTTGTTTAATAATTACACTGATAAGTCAAATTTTATTCATATTTGTATGTCTAGCTGTTTCCTTGGAATCTTGTATCCACCCATAATACTGCTCTTGCTTTTACTTTAAAGAATCCCCATGCAATGGACGGTACTACATACAGTGTTTTGTGATGGTGCACATTTCCAGGAAATACAGCATGTGGCTCATGTGCAGAAATGTGAGACAACCACAGTACTCGTAGATTGTCAATTGTAGATTGTAGATTTTTTTTTCTAAAAACATGTTTGCTGGTACTCACTCTATTTTGGTTCATCAAATGAGTTCCACATAGGAATGGCAGTAGCAAAGTATATGTAAGGTTAATACATCTGTGTACATCAGTTAATCCCAGTCTGCATAGCTCACCTCTTTCAGTTACAGTGAACTGTTAGTAATCTTGTGGAAGGAGGTTAGTGCTGTGTTAATTAGGGGGGAAAAGAAACAGCATACAAATTCTTCCTCACCGTGCAGTAGTATGCTCAGCAATAATGGGGTTAAAAATGAACACTCATATTATTATAGCAAGAAACCTTTAGCCATTCCTGCAAAAGTGAGAGTAAGTATCCCAGTATCCAATCATGCAACTGAGGAGTGTAAGTATGTATGAACAGCAAATATTTCTTTCCCAACCATGGTACCCACTATCAAGTTACCACATTTTGCATTCATGTTTAATGTAACAAAGCAGTAAAACTACAAAAAAATAAAAAAAAATTATTAATGATAACATACCATTTCCTCTCTCTCCTTGCATTGTGGTGCGAAAAGGAGAAAAACAGAAAACAATTAGCAACACACATTCACACATATTAAAAAAAATTATGTATCAGTATTCTATAGGATATTATGTGTCGAAGAGTTCAGTGTACACAAAAAACCAGAATAAATTATTCTTATACATAAAAACGAACAAGTTTTGCTTCATGTCGTTGGGAAAAATGTACAGGAAGTATTAACAAATTTAGGACTTAAGTAACATTTCCATAACTACACAGGTTATACTCAGCATCAAATGGGATGTCTGTCAAAAAAAACTATAGGAATGATGTAGGAGACAGTGGTCATGGCCTATAATGCATTAGTCTAACCTCAAGAGTCTGTGAAAAACCACTCAAAACTGTAAAAACTTTTCAAATGGGTGCCACGTTAAAATATGGAGAAAGATGCCTCACCAAGCTTCTATTGCAGCACACTGATCAAAGTAAAAGTAAAAGTAAGGCTATCCCTGTAACAGGTCGTGAAGGCCCATAGGGTTGTGGGACGTTGAAAAATCCACATTATCTAGACAATCGACTCATAGAAGGCCGTAAGGTTGTCAGCCTTACGCACCGGCTGCGCTTTACTTCCCAGGAAAATTATTTATTTAATTCCTGGTACTCATTTCTGTTAGAGGCTGAGTCAACTCCAGGGCCATAGTGCGGCCGGAAGGATTAGGTCAACTGAAAAGAATCCAATGACCTCATCGGGACTTTAACCCACGACCTTCCGACTTGTAGCATAGTGCGTCAACCACTATGCTACTGCGTGCCCCATTGCAGCATACAGATACCTCTTATAATTACAACAGCAGCAGCAACAACACCACTACCATCATCATCATCATGATCTTCGTCACAACCACCATGACCACCAACATTAAAATCGTTATCATGACTACAACACTATCATAATCATATTTATATGTCAACATGAGCACACTTTTCTTCATATCCCTGGTTACACGTTTCAGCATTTCATGAGTACCACCATCAGACCATTATTAGAGTGAAATTGGAGAATACAGTAATGCACCTCTTCACTAGGAAGTGTGGGAACCAGGACAAGCCTGCTTTCTGGATTTCTAGGACTTCCAGTTCTATGACCATTATTGTACTTACAATATAAGAAGTATGAAAATCAAAACACGAAATTATTCATGGTCAGCAAAAAGCTTCTCCCCATACTTTCAACAAACAGAAACCTTACTGTTACTTAAATCTGTTGAAGACCCCTGAATAATATTCACACAGAGCTGACGAGGCTAATTTGCTCATGAAATATTTTAACTCAGTCCATGACATCTGAACAGAAACTTTTCACTTTCATGCTGCCTAACCCATTCAAACAACACTTTATCCGCAACAGTCTCTGCTTGGTATAGTTTTTTAACTGTTCATTAATTTAAGAATATCACTGTTGGTATAGCATTTAAGCAACTGTTCCTCCTGTTTCTAAAGATCATATACAACAGCTGTAATTACTCCAAATGCTTTACTCATTCATGGAAGCACCTTTCTCTAATTTCACAAGCAACTCCACCAACTTGTCATACTTAGCTCAAAATGTTTTCTTTTACTTCCTAACTTGCCACTGGACTTCCTACTAGCCTTTTACATGGCTCTGATAAAAAAGCAGGCATAATTAACCACAATAATCATGGAGAAGCAAATGTACACACAAAAGGGTATGCTTGAACTGAGGAAGATAAACAGCCATCAGGCAAACTCAACAGTCATTGCCACTAACCCACCAGTTCAAAAACAGTTTTACTTTTTTGAATTGTTTCATTTTTGGTCCGTTACACTATCAATCACAAAGTCAACAGAAAGTCCGTCGAGTGTAACAATGTTTTTTAGGTCACACAACACACAACGCATAGGAAACATCCAACCATAAGCCTATACAACCTCAAGCTGACATCTCCCATCATCGGGATGAATTAACAAGGAGGAGCCTAACACTTTACTTCAAATGTTTTAAATTTTTAAATATTTTAATAGTGACGTTTTAACTTGAGGGCAATTTCGGATGGAATGCGAGAGTTGAACGTGCATTCAATATTCCTAGCAAGTGTTGTGCTTTTACACATCGACATTTGTAGCAGCGTCCACGCAGCATATATACTGTGTACAGTTAAACAACGCCAGTGTTTTCTTGTTAGTACCATGTGCCTCTGATGATGGTTTTATTAAA